CCCATTCTTATTCAAACCACCACCCAGTTCCAGAGATGTGATCCATCCTCTTTGCTTAGGATGTAGTTCCTCAGCCTTGGTATTGCCACTGGGAGACGATTCATTCTTTGCTGTGGTGGCTGTTGTGTGCATTGTAGGGGCTTTCACAGCGCTCCTGGCCTCTAAGACAGTCACACCTCCCCTTCACCCTCAATTTGAACAAAGTCACCCCCAAACATGGCCAGATGTCCCCACCAGGGATCTCTAATTGAGAACCAGTGATTCTAATGCAGAAAAATGGGATTTAGAGAGGAAATCCTTTCAGGGTCACACATCTAAGTGAATTCAAGCTGAATGAGCCTCGATTTTCCATGACACCTTCGCCTTTCTTGAGCCCGATGAATGAGTGTAGGCTTCCATGTCTACTAACTGGGCTTTAGGAGAAAGGCCTCTTTCATGGTTACTACTAACTAGTTCCAGATGGTCCCAGCCAATGCCTCTTAGTACCAACGTTTCTCTACCTACAAAGAATTCCCAATATCAGGGAAGGTGCAGCCTATACAGGAATGGAGCGTTACTCTGTGTGTGTGTGTGTGTGTGAAGCCCTGTGTCCTTTCTCTCTTCCTCCCCTTTTCTACCCTTTTTCTCTTAGTTCATAGAAAAACTGATACAGTATTCTTTTTTTTTTTTTTTTTAGTTTTTCGAGACAGGGTTTCTCTGTAGCTTTGGAGCCTATCCTGGCATCACTAGCTCTTGTAGACCAGGCTGGCCTCGAACTCACAGAGATCCACCTGCCTCTGCCTCCCGAGTGCTGGGATTAAAGGCGTGTGCCACCACCGCCCGGCCTGATACAGTATTCTGAGGTTCTACCTGGGACAGCTGGGTTGGGCTACAGAGGACAAGGACATCTCCACAGTGGTGATCGTGGTGGCCGCCAGGCTGCCAGGCTAAACGGTAGACAGTGGCACTGAAGTGGGACCTGACTACCGTGGAGTGGAGGGAGCTGTGTGATTACCGTGTTCTAATTGCCCTGTGCTTGATAACGGACCAGCTACTTTGGATCCCTGCACTGCCTCAAAATGTCGTGTTAATCCAGGAGCCATTAGGATCCTTTCCTCCTAGTTTTCTGATTTTCCCCTCAGGGTGGAAGCCCGACTCCCTTCGACAGAAATTTTGCCACTAAGATGGGTGCCAAGGCTATGAACTGGATGTCTGGGAAAATCAAGGAGAGCTACCGTAATGGTATGTGGGGCGGGAGGGTGCGTTCCTCTCCAGAAGCTCCCTCCACAGTAGAAACTAACTGACTATCCTTTATTCCAGGACGGATCTTTGCCAATACTCCAGACTCAGGTTGTGTCCTGGGGATGCGTAAGAGGGCCCTGGTCTTTCAGCCAGTGACCGAGCTGAAGGACCAGACAGATTTTGAGTAAGTCATGACATTCTAGAACTGCTTTCTGGCTGCTACTAGCTACCAAGCCCTACTTCCCACAGCCTGTTAACTGTCTCTAATGCTTTGCTTTTTGTAGTAACAACTGTAGGTACTCATGCCCGAAATCCAGCCTTTTTTTGCTCAGCTTCTTCCCAGAAGCCTTTGGTAGAAGCTTATTGGCATATGATAATATCACATCACCATTATTTCATTTCTCTGTAGGCACCGAATCCCCAAAGAACAGTGGTGGCTGAAGCTGAGGCCAATCCTCAAAATCCTAGCCAAGTATGAGATTGATTTGGACACCTCTGACCACGCCCACCTGGAGCACATTTCTAGGAAGCGGTCTGGAGAAGCTGCTGTCTAGACCTCTTTGGAGTGAGAGGGAAAGAGTGTCTGATCATGGTCAGCTCATTTCCTGGTAGATCTAAGTCCATGATTTCTCAGTGTGTTAGCCCTAGCCCCTTACCCTATTAGGTTTCCTTGTACCTACAACCTTGATCAGCTGTGGCCAGGAGTTGGGGGAGGGGCAGCGAGTGACTCTCCTTCTAGGTAGCTGTCTTTCCTTCCACCCAGCTTCATCTCTTATGTAGGCTGGATTTCTCTAGTGCTCCTGCTAGATTTCAGCCACCCAGAGGATTCCTAAAAATAAGCTTTATTTATTTCTTTGTGATAACAAAGAGTCTTAGGTTCCTTTACTTTTACCACAGTGATGAAGTATAACTACACTAATAAATGCCAGCTGGTCACTGTGCTTTGGTGCTCTTGTTACTGCCGTCACAAGGGAGTGTACTGTGTCCCCCATGTCCCAGACGTACCCAGACGGAACTCCTCGGAGAGCAGCACGTGTGCTGTCCTGTGCACTTCTGCTTGGTGAAGGGTTTTGTGTTTTGTTTTGAGCATCTCTTGGTGGACAGTGTCCCAGAACATACGGTACTGCCCCTCAGCCCTATCCCCCACCAGTCCCTCTCCAGCCAAGATGATGAGCCCGTCTCCAAACAGGAAGTTATGGTTTAGTTCTCGATCATATATCCATTACCCAGGCTCACTTTTTTTCTTGCCACCCCACAATCTTTGCTCCTCAACTCAGCATTCTTCCTTTTCAACCCTTCCTTGGATGAAAGCCAGACTCTATTTGACAGGTCCTTTGTGGGAAAGACACGCACATGCTGGAAGTCCGGACAAGAGAGACATCTGGTTCTGGACCTGTGTTGGGCTTGTTGGGATACAAACACTAAAAAAGATGTCAAATCTTACTCAGATGCCGTTTGTTCTGTCCACGCCAGATACTGTGTCTTATTATTGAAGAGTCCCCTGCAGTTGGGCCTCAGGACTGGGCCTATAAACTGTACCCCAGATTGACAGGAGGGTGACCTATTTTTAATGTGAAATTGGCCTCCATACACCAGCCTGGGACTCTCAGTTACACATATGCCTATTCCTCCCAGTGCATACAGCTTTCGTCCTTACCTGCGGAAGTAGGAAAGACATTCACAGTATTGCAGTAGGTGTCTGTCTTTATAACAGTTCTAAATAGCTATCGCCAGAGGCTCAAGTTGAAGCAGCCAAATGCTCTCTGACATTCTTTAAAGGCCAGAGAAATAACATTAAACACCAAGTGCTGTGTTAGGCATTCTACATGTTACCGTGGAGGGGAGTGCTGACAATCCTCTCCAGAGATGAGGACAGCATCTCAGAGTGATTAAGTAATGTCTCTTAGGTTTCAGAGCCTAACAAAACTGGGAGTCAAACTGATCTTTAAAAAAAATTTTTTAGCCTGGTGTGGTGGCGCATGCTTTTAATCCCAGCACTCAGGGGGCAGAGGCAGATGGATCTCTGAGTTTGTGGTCAGCTTAGTCTACTTAGTGAGTTCCATGATAGCCAGAGCTACATAATTAGACCCTGTTTCAAAATAAAATAGTTTAGATTTATTTTTATTTGTAATGTGTATGAGTGTTTTGTCTGTGTGTGCACCACATACATGCCTGACACCTACAGAGGTCAGATGAGAGTGTCAGATCCCCTGGAACTGGAATTACAGATGGTTCTGAACCGTGTGGGTGCTAGGAACTGAACCCGGTCCTCTGCAACAAGTGCTGTTCAACTGCTGAGCCATCTTCCCTGCCCCGGTTACACTGATCTCAAAGCCTGTCTGCTCCTCACTGTGCTAATTAAATTCAAACAACCTTTGAGACCATGAAAAGGAAGTGGACGGAGAGCGAGCGCAGATACACTGGGGCACAAGTGCCAGCCGCCACTCATTTAGAGGCTCCCTTCACCAGTGTTAATCCTAGGACTTGTTCTTTGAGAAAACGATGAAAAGAGAAAAAGACAGGTGGAAAATTAATCACAGAAGAAAAATGGCACTTCATAGAGAGTAATATTTTAGGATCATAGGAAGATCTGAAGACAAATGTAGTGAGCAGAGACCACTTACAAAGAAAAACAGCCTACACTCCATCTTCCCCAAGTTAGGCGAAACTGTGTTGAATGGGATGGATGCATTACTAGTCACCAACTGTGATTATGGAGTGACGGAGAAACAGGTAGCCCACTTGACAAAATGCTTTCCCTTTCCCAAATATCACAGGTGTCAACGATGAGAAATGAATGGCAGGCCTAGCTGAACAGAATAAGCCTGGCTGCCTTTCAGGACACTGATGCCTAATTCCGTACTGAACTAACCAGTCTTGGTGGGTGGATTCTGGGCTTTAGCCTTTCATTTCCCTGTACGACCTTTAATAATTGTGAGGTTTGAGGCCTCCAGGCCTCCTGCGTACAGTAGTGGATCTCATTTCTGGTTACACCTAGCAGCCTCTAAGAACATAGCCCTTCCTCGAGAAATCCTAAGTAACACGGAGTAAAATCTTGGCCTTAGCATTTTTAAAGCTTTTTTGGAACCTTGATGTGTAGCATTTTCCTTTTTATAAGATGTAGTTTATTAGTGTGTTTGCCTACATGAGTCTAAGTGCCCCATTTGCATGTAGGATCCCATAGAGATCAGATCCCTCCCCTCCCCTCCCCTCAGAAGTGGTGTTACAGTTGGTTGTGAGCCACCACGTAGGAGCTGAAGCCCAGTCTTCCACAGCTGAGCCATTTGGCTAATCTCTGTTTAGTGGTGCTGGAGACTGAACCTAGGGCCTTGAGCATGCTGATCACCTGTGTTATCACTGAGTTACACCCTGCAGCTAAGGTTAAGAATAAAAGCAGAAACTTCAGCCAGGAGGTGGTGGTGCACACCTTCAATCCCAGCACTACAGAGGCAGAGGCAGGCAACTCTCTGTGAGTTCAAGGCCAGCCTAGTCTACAAGAGCTAGTTCCAGGACAACTAGGACTGTTACACAGAAAAACTCTTATCTCGAAACCAACCCCCCCCCCCAAAAAAAGAAAGAAAGAATAAAAGCAGAAATTTCAAATTTGGGGGTAAAGGGATGCATTACAGAAGCAGGAGCTTTAAAACTGCCTCACTTTCCTGCATGCCCAAACCCAGAATCCCTTGCTGGGGGGAGATGGAAAGGTACGCAGAAGAGTGACACAATTTCTTATAAATGGGCAGAAAAGGAAGCAGAGAAAAGAAGAAACAGTGGAAGCTGCCAAATTTGCTTTTGGATTTATTTATTCTTTTTTCAAATGGGCAAACCCCGGCAACAGTGAAGGACAAAAGCAGGCATACTTTTTAGTGTTAGCTGTGCCAGATGGCCCTATTCATTTGGGTGTAGTGACAGCCAGCTTTTTAAAAAGTGCTTTCCAAACTTGCATACAGATAACTTAAGGTCAGTATCAACTTCATTTAGTTTAAGAACATGAAAAGGAAAACTAGTGTTCACTGAAACAGGCCCTTTTTGGGTAGGCAGTCCAACTCCAAAGAAGCCCTTTCACATTCTGTTTCCAGCTCCACTTTCCCTACCATTTTCTATAGCTCAATAAAAAGCAAAAGTTCCACGAGGGTAGAAAGAAACCATCTTCAAACTCTTAGGGAATGAAGCTCCATGGAGAAGGCAGTTCCCCACCTTGCCTTGCTAAAGAACCATGTTCATCTAAGGTGCAGGAAAACTCATGCTCGGCCCCTTAGTGTAGAGGAGTTTCAGGGAGAGCCACAATAGACAATGGTCTGGCAAGCTTAGGACTGCTGAGTCTTCTTGTGGGGAGCAGCAAGATACTTCTGTGAAATTACACTGCTGGATGACTAGCCCTTGGGCAAACTATAGAAAAAGGTGAAAAAGGTTATTTCTTTTGATAAGGAGAAAGGAGCCAGTCCCCTCTGAATGCCCAATTCTGATTCTACACCCTATCTGAAGTTCAAGTATTCATCCTTTGAACATAATTTTTGTTCACTGGAATTGTGATTTTACTTGAACTTTAGATCAACTAAAAATGTTTAGGAGAAATTCATTCACAATGCTTATCCATGGCTCTAAAGGAAAACCATATACTCTGAGCACTTTATATCTTCCTAGGGAAAAGTAGTTATACTGTTGACTCCAAAGTGTCCTACAGGGACTGGGGAAGAACTTTTGTAGGGTTCACTATCAAAAGGCAAGTAAGCAATAAAACAGTCAACAGAAGTGCAGGGAGTTTCTCATTTTTGGTTTGGTTTGGGGAGGGGAGATGGTGCACACATTACTGCTGTGATGTGCTGCCTCAAAAATCTATAAACCACACAGCAGGAACAAGTTCTGTTCTGTGTTCCATGACAAAGGATAGTAGTGTAAAGAAAACCTCACCCAGAGTTGTCTGCACGATGGCAGACATGTCTCCTCCAGGCTATTCTAAGAGTAACAAGTATTCCTTCAAAGAAGCTGGCAGTGGAAGACCCTTCACCGCATTGGGCAGGTACTGGAAACCCAGGCTATGGCGTACAGCATAGCGGGCAAGGGTCTTAAGAGTTCCTGGTGCTGAGCACAACAGAGTCAGTTTTTCACACAGCTGCTGGTCTTTGGTCACTTCTCTTGGCATGGTGCCATTTTTCCTTAACTCAAAGTGTCCAACAGCTCTATGAAGGAGCTCGAAGCAGGAGTCTTCTTTCTCTGCTCCAAGTCCTCTAACCAGCAGAGCCACCAAGCGGGAGATGGGTGTCTGGCCTTTTAAGTTGATGACTCTGACCTCAGCGCCATAATCAAGAAGGATGCTGACACTCTCAAGATTTCCCTTCATGGCAGCCCAGCTGAGTGGTGTGTCATTGTTGTAATCCAAGGCATTGACAGAGGCCCCACTCTCTAGGAGAGCCCGCACACAGTCAGCATTGTTCTTAAAGGCTGCCCAGTGAAGCGGGGTGTCTCTGTTGCCATCCAGTGCATTGGGGTTTGCACCGTATTCCAAGAGGACCTCCACACAAGCCTCATCTTTCTCTGCAGCATAGTGGAGGGCTGTTCGGTTGTAACCATCCAGGGCATTGACCTACAGAAAGGAAGGAAGTATTTTACAGTGGACTGGTTACTGGGAAGGAAAAAAAGGAGCCTGGCAAAGAATTCTGCATGGATTTGCCCACTACCTTTGTCATGCAATGCTCTCACCAATAAGAGAATATGCAATTCTCCAGGAGTCTTGGTGATCAAGATGAGAACACATATATGGGGAACAATAGGAACTGTCAATGTACAGCCAACTATCATACTAACTGGCTGGCAGGACCGCAAGTTCACTTCTTTACTCTATTAGTCTCTGTCATACTAGGGAAGGAAGAGGGAAAAGATGAAGTCCAAGTCTTTAATACTGCTCTGAGAGAAATTCTGGATTATTTAACCTAATACTTTCTCTATCCTGTGACTAATGGAAACCAGAAAGAAAAATAATGAAGTCAAAACTCTGTCCTCTTTGTTGTGTTCTTTTAACCCTACAAAGGTCTTGGATGACCTTGTGTGGAGGAAGAGCACAAACTTCCAGTGCTGAAATGGCAGGTGCCTCACTGGGTCAATCATTCCCTCAAATTCCTAATCTACAGATGATTTAGGATCTCTTCACACGATACTGTGCACTATAGCCAGAGCAAACCATTTAATGGAGCTGACAGTTTTGTTTGTTAAGCCTCACTTTCCCTTTGGTCACTGGTATTACTCAGGGTATAACTGGCTTTTCATCTCAGGGTCATTTACATTACAAAAAGATTTAACCACAAGATTATAGACTAACTAACTAGTGCTGCAGAGAATAGCATGGCCATATGGAGATGTTACAGTGGGACTTGCTTCTTCTGCTTACTGTCCAGCATGTTTGGAATGGCACACTTGCTTGATGATGGCTTGTCTGATTCAAATTAGCACTCAGCATACACCACCATCAAGACTGCTCACCAACAAAGCTGCTAGATTAATTTGTCATGTACTTACTCAGCAACTGCTACAAGCCAGCAATCCATACACTTTGCAATTTTACAACATACCTTTTTTATAGATGGGGAAATTGAAGCAAAGGGAGGGATTAGGGAATCTGTTCAAGGTCATACAACTGCAAGCACTGTGCTGGAAGTGGAACCCAGGAAATTGGTTCCAAAGTCCTTTCAGGGAGGAGAGGTGGTCAGCTTCAGAGTCTTGTTATATATTCAAGCTGGCCTCCAACTCAGTCCTCTGACTCATCCCTCCCAGTGCTGGGATACAGGTGAACACATACCATCGTGCCTGGCTCAGAGTCTATTCTTTTAAGTCATTCTTTATATTACATTGCTTAATGCCAATACCAAGAGTCTACTTTCAAAAATTAATTTTTTATTTTTATATTAAGATACATTACAAAGAAAATAATAATCTCCAGAATATCACAAGTCCAAGAGTATCTTACATGGCTTAGGATTAGGTGGAGTTGAGAAGCCACTGTACTTATGGTAACTGGACAGTCCACAGGAGAAGAGTCAATGGAAATATGAACAACCCCAGGAGGTAGGCGGGGAAGGAAAGAGAAACAAAACTCCTTCTTGGAACCATGGACAGTTTAAGGGAAGGAAAAAAGAAAGGCAAAGCGATAAAACTCTTAGAATCATCTTATGATTCTATGACTTACGATCATACCTTGCCTTAGTAACAGATATGCCAATGTTACCATGAGTTACAAAGTAAGCTGGAAGGTGCAAAAGGAAATTCTAAGAAAGATGAAGGTCAATTTTTAAAAACTCATCAATCTGAAAGTATTGACAATGTCACTCACCTCTGCTCCCTTTTCCAGGAGTAACTCCACACAGTCAGCATCCGACACCATGCAGGCACAGTGCAGGGGCTTCAGTGTGCCATGGGTGCAGTTCACGTCTGCTCCCTATGGGAAGGAATTCAGAAGCCACAGAAGGGACTGATGGAGAGGGGACTCCTAAGCCTGAATACACTTTAACTACAAGTACCTATTAGTTCTCGTAATGAATTCCAGTACTCAAATCAAGGAAATATTAAAGGAAACCATTTCCCCAGATCAAGTTTCTCCACAACACAGCCTGCCAAAATGGCTTCCCGGACACTTCTGAGGACAAGGCCTTACGTGTAAAACCTGTGGGAAAGCTGGCCCAGCTACCCACATTCTATGGTCACTGTGCTCTGCAAGTTATGAGAATGAGTCTCAGACTGAGGCCAGAACTATCAGGCTCTTTTTGCGATTCAACAAATGCCCCTCACTAACTACAGGCCATCTTAATGTTGTGTTTATAAACTCTTCACGGTGGCCTGAGCCTCAGCATTACTCCTGATCTGCTAAAGAAGGCTCACCGAAGCCAGAGTGACTCAGTAGCATAGCAGGAATGAGAACAGACTCCCACCCCACCGTGCTGAGAACAAGCTGTGGCACTCCTTCCTCCCTCAGGTGCCACCTTTGACCCGAACCGAACCCACATGGTTACACTTTCTGAAACTGACAGGAACCCACATGGTTACATTTTCTAAAACATTACTTGGTAGTTTCTCTTCAAAGGGGGAAGGACACCAAACTCCTCTAGGGTACTAGTCCTTTAACAGAATCACTGACAGCAGAGCTTAGAGATCAGAGAAAGTACTTCCTTTCTTTTAAAAAAGTAAGATGTATTGTTAATTATGCCGTGTGTGTGTGTGTGTGTATGTGTGTGTGTGTGTGTGTGTGTCCTTGTGTGAGTTTCTACATGTGCATGTGTCCAAGAGGTCAGAAGAGGGCATCAGAATGGTTGGTTACAGGTGGTTGTGAGCTGCCTGGTGGCTACACTCTCTCCATCACTGGGCCACCTCTCTAGTCTCTCATTTTCTTAATCTGCAATTACTATCCTCTTCAGGGGGCGGTGTCTGCTGTGGCGCTAAAACTGAAAGCTGTCGTACCAAGCAGGAAAGTGAAATCTCTCCTGAAATCACCATCAGCCAGTTTTGAAGCAAACCTCCAAGGAAACTGCCCACCCCCATAAAACATGGACAGAAGACTAACCTCATGGCTTTCACATATGTACGTGTACCACACCCTGGCAGGTTCAAAAACGAAACCAAAAACATGTGAGTCAGGTTATCTGGAATATATTTTATGAAGAAAGCCATCAGGGACATAAAGGAGGATGAAGCAAGAGTTAGGGAGAACATATTTTAATGATCATGCTAAATACTGATGAACATGGAGTATGTGCTCAAATCAAGGTTGCAACTCGAAAACCTATGAGGATTTAGCAGGAATTCTAACACTTCCCCTTTCAAAGGTCCGCTCTATCAAGAATGGCCCACTCACCCCTCTAATGAGGTCCTCTACGTTGTCATGTGGGAAGGAGCGAATGGCAGCGATTGTTCGGATCAGGCGTTCTGAGAGGGAGTATTTGCTCTGAATGCTCTGCATAATATACCACATACTGGAACTCATCAAGGCTCAGAGTGCTTCCACATGCTCCGGACTGCCTGAAACAAACACGTTTTAGGCATACACGATATCGCTGAGTATACCTGTCCTCAGGGCTAAGCATTTTCTGAGGGCTTTCCCACTATAAAAACAGATGTCAAGGAGGTCAGTGACCAATCAATACCTCCTCCTGCAATACTACGGCAGATTATAATAGTTGCTAGGATGTTAAATCAACCTGGATACTCTCTGATGATCAGCTGTGTTTTTATTGACTAATGACCCGCTGTGTTTTTATTGACTAATGACCCCTCAAGAGTTAAGGTAACGGAAGGCTTTTAAATTAGTGTCTGGCACATCAAAGTCTTCAACATACATTTGTTAAACCAATATTTGACTTGACTTCACACCGGGTCGGTCCAGCACTCAGGATCCATTCACTAAACCTCTGGGTCAGGAACGTTGCTGTCAAAGTGTGACCCAGAAGCAAAAGCTTTGACTTTGGAACCTAATAATTTTTGTAATTATATATGCAATTACTGATAGCATGAATATAAAAAATGTTTTCAGCAATTTTGTAATACACATTTTCTTTTGTGGTGGGATATCCCTTTATACATTGTATAATATAGTATAAACTTTACTAGTTTCTTTCTACCAATCAGTAGCCATTTATATTTGTCTCTGGGTGTACACGGCTGTGGGTATGGTTTGGTAGTACAGTGGCTTCTCCTTAGAATTTGGCAAATCCTTTTTTTCAATTCCTAGCACTCAAACACTAGGGCCTCCCTCCCGTCTTCAGACCATCAACTATCTGTATCTGCACTTTGTAAGCATGGAGGGGAGCTGCCACAAAGGTGGGCTTGAGTCCGTGTTCCAAAAATGGTGTGGACGGAGGGGACAAAACCCAGGCTAAAGCAGAAGCCTGGACTGAAGTGGTTCTGTTAAATTTCTGGGACAAGGTTTAGCAGATGACACGAAACCCGGCACTCATTTTACGGGTGTTCCTGGATTCCAGGGTAAGAACTCTAATCTAGAGCATGGCAGGTGTTCACCTCCTGCTACCGTGAAGCTCCAGGTGAAACAGTGACTTCGAGTTTGGACAACATTCGCAGACAGGACGGGGCAAGATAATCAATGTCGCCGCCGCCCCTTGCAGGCAGCAAAGCCTGCAGTTTGACCCTTGGAGGGTTCTTTCCTCAGCTGGGGCTCACGCGCCCCATGCCCTGTTTTGTTTTGTTTTGTTTTCGCTATGGAATGCACAGTAAACACCCTTTCTTTCTTTTCTTTTTTTTTTCTTTCTTTCTTTCTTTTTTTTTTTTTTAAGACAACAGACCCAAGAGCTCCTGCTCTGGTCAGGCCTGGGCCTGGCTGCGGGGACCGTGGGTCTGGACGACACCTGCCACCTGCTGCTGGAGGCTCGCGGACGCCGGGCCTGGCGGAGCTCAGGGACCGGGACAAGGGCACGAAATGCCAGGACTGCGGCGTCCCTGGCGGCGGGGACCCCCTGGAGCGAGTCCTGGGAGCCTCAACCTGCAGCCCCGCGGGGCGGACACCGACTTATCCCCGCCCCCACCACCCGCAAAGGCAGGGGACAGCAGTGCCGTCCGGAGGCCCGCAGGCCGGGCGGGCGGCTAGGGACGTTACTGGCTGCGGAGCTCCCGGCTGGGGACCTGGCTTCACGTCGTCCCACACCCACGGCCGCACTCACCGAACCGCGGGGCAGAGCTCGGTCCGGGAGGCCGCTGTCAAGGCGTGACCCGGAAGCAGAAGCTGCCCGCAGCTGCCCAGGGTTTTCAGAGCTGACCACCGCGTTGCGAAGGTGCCTGCGCGCTGGCCAATGTGAGAAAGCGGAGCGCGCCTGCGCAGACTCTCGAAGCCAGAGGTTTTCCAAGGGAGCGGGTTGCTTTTCTCCTGTTGCTGTCTAAAAGCGCAATGGACGTGGGCGCAATCGCTAGCTCGTCCCCAGCCGAAAACCGTCCTGTACACCTCACTCCTACAATATTCTCTCCTTAGCACCATCCACTCCAAACTGGCGTGCAAGCTTCACATAACTGACCTAGTGAGTGGCTGGTGACTGCCTCTCTACTCTTGATTAAGCCAGGTTGTTTGAACCACTGCTCTCTCTCAGAACTCACTCCACAGCAAAAGCAGGTTTCCATCTGTACCCAGCAGAGAGGACAGGGTCAAAGGATCTAGCAAGACAAAGTACTATAACCTGGAGGGTGGCGTCCACCTCCCTTCGGAGGTCCTGGGCACCAACAGCTCTGGTTCAATGCCATGCACCAAGCAGAGCTGTGGAAGACTGAAGGCTAGGACATTGGTTCTGAAAGTGATCTATTATTTCACTATTTCTCTGAGTGTTAACTTTCTCGATGTTGGCTGTAATGACACTTAAAAAAAAATCCTATTTCTAGAAATTTTGTTTTTACATAATTCCAAAGCAAAAAGTCTTGCTTCCAAAATGATTGCTCTATTGCCTAAATTCAAACAGCTATATGGCTACAAAACAGGACCTGGGAGCATTTTGTTACAAAATTGCCAAGTCTACAGTGTCGGTTTCTGTGGGCGTATTCCCAATGGGCTACACCCGGTCCGACTCCAGCGTGCTAGCACCTAGCCTTAGGTTCCATTTTTGCTTCTGCTGGTGCCTCCTAAAGGAAGGTAAGGACATCAATCATTCTCATTTTCAAATTTTAATATGACTTTTGTTATAAACTATTCAAACATACAGGAAAAACTAGAAAGACTAGTAACATGAAATCATTATAGCCACCACCCATTTGTAAACATTGATGGTTTGTCACATTTAAAATCTAATTTTGTTTTTCTCTTGTTCATTTTTCAAGATTCAGGTTGTTTTTTTATTTTCTTTTCTTTCCAGACAAACTACTTAAAAATATTTGTAATTCCTGCTGCTTTGGAGAATTTTTTTCTGAGAAGATTGGATTATTTGTCTTGATGGTAACCCCCCCCCCC